AGGTTGTTCCGAAAGACCATGTGCATCTTCTTGATCTGTTCCTTAGTGCTCGGGAAGGCTCTTTCTTCTTCTTCAACCTCCCGTTCCCATCCGTCAAAAATGGCTTTTCGTTTGATCTTAAGTGTCTGGAAGTGCTGAGATGATTTGCTTTGTAAGGAAGAATCCAATCTTCCCATGGGCACACAGCTTGAATTGCTTCTTCAGGAAGTTGTCACTGCCCTGGTAGGTGAGCTTGGGTCGTGGCTGGACGAGGATTTGTTTGCGGTCACAGACCGCGTCCAGGCCCGTGGTCTTGCACATGGGTAGTAGGGGTTGGTCCGGGCCCCGGCCCAGGCCCGTGATCGTCTCTCCAATCGTTTCCTTAGCCAGGCGCACACACTGAAACATGCGCATGGAAATGAGTTCCCGGAGTTCGTTTGTCCACCCATGGTCATTGCCTGCAAAGTTCAGGTCCCTAGCCGCGTGCTGTCTGGCCAGGGCAGGGGTGTCCCAGTCGGCCAGGTCCTCCATGGTGGTGTAGCCCGCCTGGGCCACCACCCAGTACGGGATCCCCTTCTGTGTGAGGAGGGCCTTGACCCCCGCACTCAGCGCATCCACTCGTTCCTGAAGAGGTTCAGGTACGGGATGAGGGGGGCGTATCGGCATCGGCGGTCCGGCCGGAGCGGCCATCACCAGGTTCACAGGGAGTGGAGGGTGGGTTCGCAAAAGTTCGATCTTTGATGGATCAGGGGCTGATCCTTGAGCCAAAATGGCAGGCCATTTTGGCTAATGAAATGTCTTGTGGACACATTGTTTGCAATCCGCAAACTCCTTCCAAAACCAAAGTGTCCCCAAACATCAATCCAAAAAGGCAGACAGCAGCATCACAGAAGCAGCTCGCACCTCTTTTCAGAGAGGTGGTAGTGTCTGCCTTTACAGGTCTGAACTGTCCTTTTCACCCATGCCAGGTCTTCACCTGGCTTGCACTAGATGGCATTCGAAAATCAGCCAATCCCGCAGGACGGATGCCACCAGTGGACGCCAAGCCCGCAGGTAAGTGGCAACCGTGCGGGGTCGATTCCTCAGGAGACAGGACCCGAGGCGTATGACGCCCCCTTTTCCCCCCGCCCGAGCACCTGTCCCTCAGCCTGGGGGTCAAGGTCAATGTCAAAACCAGTGGACTTCACTCCACTGCACGCTCATGGGATCGGTGGATCATCTCAGAGGTGACCTTCTCCGCTTCCGATGCCGTGTCGACCGAATCATCCGTAAGGGAGTCCTCGGAGTCTGGCGAGGAGGCTGACGAGGCCTCAGTAGGCAGAGGCGCATGTGGGGCTGATGGTGTCTGCCAGTCTGCGGGGAAGGTGTGGTGCTTGAAGCACCGTTCGCAACAAAGGTGGGCATCGATGTTCGCGATGTACTCATCCGATGTGAGCTCATTCACGCGGGCCAGGTTGGGAGGCCAGCCGCGCCCAATGGTCTTGCCCTGGTTGTCCAGGAGGTGAACCTTGAAGAGGTAGGTGCCCTTCTTCCTGAGTGTGGTGGCAATCACCCGCAAGGGACCGGAGGCATCAGCGACCGAGTCAGCTGGGATCTTCTCCGCGTCCACCATCTCCCAGCTGGCCGTGCTCTCCGGCGTGGGCCTCAGTGGCCGTTCCGGTGGCGAGCGGCCCAGGTCTTGAGGGATGTGCAGCTGGAAGGCGCAATCAGGGATGAAGACCCGGAAGGAGTGCCAAGAGAGGTTCTCCACCTGTGGGCCTCGTAGGCCTTGTCGTCCCAGAGCTGCTTTGAGCCATCGAAGCGCCCTGTCCGGTGAGGAGGGTCGAGGAATCAGGCCCAGACCATCCTTGCTCAGTGTGGGGATCAGGTAGCCCGAGTCCACAAAGGCCTCAAGTGCGTGAATCTTGCGCCAAGTGATGGTGAGTGGGGTCCACCCGTGAAGGAATACTTGGGTGCAATGAGAGGGACCGGGGACTTCTTCATCTTGAAGGCGGACACTGTCTTGGTCTGCCATGCATTGAGCTCAATGGTGGAGGAACTGATCTGCAGGTAGCTAGTCGAGGTATGTTGGAGGTCATCGAACCTCGCACTGCATGCAACCTGGAAGGTCCAGCAGGGGGATTCCCCCCTGATCAGGGCTCGGAGCACCTGGGGGGGGAATCCCCGCCGCACCGCACTCCAGCGCCCAAATCACTTCCTTTGAGGGAACCATGGCCTTCCGCTGAGGCTTTGACACCGTAGGCGTCAGTTGGTCCTGCAGTGCTTTGCGCTTCTCCTGGAGCCGACCGAGGGAGGCAACATCCAACAGTCCAAACCTCTTGGAGAACCAGCGAAGGGTGTCCCAGATGCGCTGGATCTTGTGTGGGGTAGCCTCCGTGTCGCGCAGCTTGTTGAGGAGGGCGCGCACCGCCGCCGCATCCCAGGGGATCTGGTTGAACCCCATCCGGATAAGTTCCTCAAGGCCCAGGCAGTGAACACGTAGGGTGCGGAAGCGTGTGCACCCAAGAGGTCCATGTACTCCTGGAAGAGGTCTGGCCCATGTATTGACTGGAGGTGGGGGATCTCATTGGCATAGGGTGCCATGTGGGCAATGAGCCTCCTCGCCCAGTGGAGCCGGAGGTCACTCTCCAGTCGTCGCTGGGTGGATGGTTCCATGTCCCGGATGCGACCGGGTTTCCAACGCCGCCACTTCTCCAAGGCTTTCAGCGCCGGAAGAGGCTCGATTGGGGTTCGGAGCCAGTTGACCCGGTCCGCTGCGGCCCACCGTCGTTGTAGGTCATCGAGTGGCGCCCCTGAGCGGTGGCATGGGCTAGGCGGGCAAAGGCCAGCGCCACTTCTTCAGCATTTTGTGGAGTCGTAGGTTGAGGCATGTTGTCCAGAGTGGAGTGGATTAAGAAGTTCAGGAACTCGGTGCTCACCACTCCAGTCGGTGTCTGCGCAGGATCAATCACTAGAAAGGGTTCGAACAAGGCCATGGGCAATTCCGCCTCCTCGGATGGCCCGTAGTGAGCCGCCATGATCAAGGCGGTCAGACATTCCCCGTCTGCCTGGACGGGCGAGAGGCCATTGCGTCTGAGGGTGTCCTGCGCGTGGGAGGGGACTGTGAAGTAGGTCCGCGTGTAGGGGGGCTTCAGGGCATAGTGCTGAAGCTCCATGGAGCAAGGCTGGGGACGTCCACACCGGAGGCTCCGCCCGACTGCCGGCAGGTTCACGCCAGCGCCAAGTACCCTCAAATGGCTGCGGAACGAGCACAAGGTCCCAAGTCCCAAATCGAAAACGAGAAAACAAACGGTCACGTCCGTCCCGTTTCAAAAGTAAAAAGCCGGTACCAGAGGCTTTCCCTACGACTCGGGCGACTGCGAGTGGTATACGGTCCACTCTACGGCTGTGTCTGGCACAGCGTCATCGGCCAGTGGCAGAACGGAGGCGCCACCACCTGCCACACCTCCCCAGGGATCGAACAGCCCAGGATGTCTAGGCGCCTCGTCGATCCACGCCCTCGACGACTAAGCAACTGGACCCGGCGTCAACACTCGACTCGACAAACCCGGCAGGCAAGGATCTCAAGAGAAAGGTGTTTGAGGCCCCCAGGGAGGCCTCAGAAACCCTCGAACATGTGGTGCAAGAAAGTCACTCACGCCTTTTTCATATCGAAGATGGCTGGTACCGGTAGGGTACCCTGGTCGTGGCCGTCTGCGGCAACCCCTTTTGTCCACCGAGCATATCAGGGCAAGAAGCTCCTGGCCCAGCCAACAGGGATGCAAAAAGACAACGCCAAAAATGCCACTGCACAGGTGGAAGCACTTCCACTTACTCAGCGGTCATGGATCTGCTTCAGGCCATCCGCCTCCGGGTTCGAAAAGATGATGCCCCAGAGGAGGTCCGAAATGTGCTCCATGACCCGGCTGAATCGAAGCTGACTGACCGTGCTGGGGTCAATGTCCAAACACTCGTCTCGGAGGGGAGCCTGGGGCTCCATGGGTGTAGTACTCGATTCTGGACTTGATCCATCTGTTGTAGAGGTCCTGGGGAGGCTCATCCAGGATCAGCTGGAGGGACACCCGCTTGCCCTTGTGGCGGCCCTGGATCGGGACAAAGCGGGTGGAGCCCCGCTTGGATTTCTAGAAGCCCTTGCAGTGCCTGCACACGTAGCCGCCCCGCGTAACGCCACTCTCCTTGGTGACCACATCCCAGGGGGAAATCGAGCTCAAAATAAGGCCACACTCCAAGCGGCCCCAGAAGACGTGGCTGTTCTTGTCCTTGAACTGCTTCTTCTTGTAGTCCGAGCCCGCAATCGACTCCACACAATCCACCGTGAGAGGCGGATAGTTGCCCGGTGACCCCGGAAGGTGCTCATCCGGCAGGGCCCCCCCCCCCCATATCAGGGCCGGAGGCAGGTGCGTCCGGGTGAGGGGGCCACAATGGTGGCATCGGAGTAGCCCAACTTGCGGTAGATGGCAGAGGCCTTGCCCGGGTCCGTGACCTTGGCAACCCACCATTGCTCCTCCGTGCAGCGCCAGGCCACTCCGTCATTTCAATTTCATATTCTAAGTACCTCGTTTTGACACCAAAAAAAAAGTACATAGAATATCTCCGAGCGGATCAAACGAGTACTTGGAATATCGTGGAATGGTCTGTGGAAGATAGGGGACATAGGGGAGAAGATGGGAGAAGGAAAAGGGACATAGGATGCGAGCTCGCGCGCGCGCGCGCGGGTGTTTCGATTCGAGGCACGCGGGTTTTTTGATATAACCATCCTGAAGATGCTTTTGGGACCCCGATATTCCATGTATTATTACTTTTCTTTAGTGCCGCGGGATTGAGTTGTACCAAAATTCTATGTACTTCAGGATGGTTATATATATATGCCTTCTCAAGTTGTCCACAGCCATATTAAAACCTTTGGTTTCAATATGTTTCTGTGTATATTTACATGAATAAATAAAAAAATATATATATAAATACAAATATACATTATGTATTATGGATTTTCTTCCATTTCCCAAATCAGCATTAGGCCTTTGCCAAGCTGGATTCACAGCACTTTCTTGTACGCCAAAGGCGAAACAGGGTCTATGGTGTTGCAGAAGCAAACGTTGGCAGCGGTGGATATGATGGCAAAGCTCTCGCTCATGCCTTTGGAGCAGTCCTTCAGCATCTGCAACCCCATTTCCATTTCGGATGGAGGAATGCTTTGATCCAAATGAGCCAGAGGAACAGCCACGTGGCGCACGGATTTGCGACATTCTGGCAGCAGCCATGGAGAAAGCCCGTGCAGCTACATGGCTGCAGGATGAGACCTTTGCTGACTTGACCATGTTCTAAGTGTTGGGGTTGTGTGTTGATTAATGTACATTTCCAGATTTGGTATCCCAATATCTAACTCATTGTAACTCTATATATTTATCTAAACATCATATCTAGATCGGTCTTGGCTGCCATGCCAAGGCTGGAGAGGGTGAAACCATTTTTGTGGATTGCAGTACTTCCAGAGAGCGGAATGTGGAGAGTGCGGCAAATGTGCTGACATGCGTGACTCCCAAGCATGAGATCTATTTGAATTTGCTTTCCAGATATGTGAAGCCACAGGAGTACCTCAATGCTCAAGGGATATGGCGCGTAGATGCAGAGAATGTCCAGGCATATGACAAGATGCTAGAGAATGGCCTGGCACAGGAATTGGCTGGGAACTCCTTCACCAGCACTGTGGTGCAGGCAGTGGTTTTGGCATCCTTTGTGACCTGCAAGTGTTGGTTGCACATTGATCTGCAAGAAATGCCCGCCAAGCCCATGGTGGCACCAAAAAGATTGAAACAGTCAAGGCAGCACATGCTGCAAATCAAGCTGTGCCCAATGAGAGGAAAGCTAGGAAGGTTGACCCGAAGCCTTCCCTTGACAGTGAGCAGAAAGGTCTGAAGCGCAAGTTTGAGGATGAGAGTGTTAGCCAACGACTCCTGCCAGATGCGCAAGTGGTTCCATCCGATGATCCCCTACATCATCAAGTTGCTCAACAACCTGATGGTGAACAACAGGTTGTCAGACGGCGTCTTCGCGAAAAAACTCCAGCAACACTCCTACAGCTCAAACCAGTCAAGAAGAAGAGAGGGAAAGGGCCTGGCAACAAGAAAGGGACAGGGAAGAAAAGCATGGCAACCATCCGGCAAAAGAATGAGATCTTCCTGGCTTTTCAAAAGGCCAAGTCTAGCGGGGTGGAGTATCCAATCAAAGAAGTTGAGAAGCAGAAACTACCAGGATGCTTCGCCGGCTGCATGTTCGAGAGCAAGTGGGGCGTAGCACGCAGAGAGCAGACCTGGGAGTTGCTTTGCGCAACTGCGCCTGCCATGTGCAAAAAGCACAAGGAATTGCCCAACAGCCTCAGAAGGATCCTGGGCTTTGAGAAGCAAAAGCATGGCCATGGCACTTCAAGCAAGGAGACAGAGAGATGCTACATTCCGTTTGCCTTGGGGCGGGCAATTGAGGGAATGATCATGGACAGAATCATGCTGGGTGAAGAGACCACTATTGCCTATGTGAAGAATACGATAGTCTGGGCCGTGCAGCTTTGGAATGAGGTGATTGAAATGATTCGCGGTGACATCAAGGCAACCGGCCTTGAGACTACCAAACAGCAAGATGAGGAGCTTGCATCCATGTCGCCTCAGCGTCTCCACAAGTTCTTCCAGGAGCTGGCAGACAATGCTGAATCTTTGCTCCAGCCTATCAACATGGACATAAACGATGGTGATCTCCTGAACCTAGGCTTTGACTTATGTATGGAATCTTCTAAGTGTGTAAGCACTGAATGCATGATTTACATTAAACTAAAGACAAACAATACCTTATACTGCCAAGAGCTGCGTATTTTTGACACTGTAGACACAATAGCTTGGACATTATATGTATATACACAAACACTAAAGATCCTCCTTGGGCTACACCAGGTGGGGTTGGGTCCCCTAAAGGTGGATAAATTGCGAGGGTACCCAACGTGCCACAAAACCGATTTTCTTCAAGCTTGGGCTCAAAAGTGGATAAAATGACGATGGGTACCTGGATAAATGTGGGGGGGGACCCAACATAGGCTCTGGCTAAAAAAGTTTGGCCAGCCTTGGCTAAATTGTTATGTTCCCAACCCTGCCTGGCAATTTATTAAAAACATCTCAAGATTCAAATCCGCCCCCTCAAGAGTCCAGTCACTCCACTCGTGAGATTTGTGCAGCCATGCATTTGGCAAGCAAAGGGCATAGGTTGCAGCCTTTGCTGGGTAGGTGGTGTGTGTGGGTTGTGTGGTGGCTCAAATGACTGGCTTGCAA